ATTGGGGAGAATGTCATATGGTCAGATAAAACCAAAATAGAACTTTTTGGTAAAAACTCAACTCGTCGTGTTTGGAGGACAAAGAATGCTGAGTTGCATCCAAAGAACACCATACCTACTGTGAAGCATGGGGGTGGAAACATCATGCTTTGGGGCTGTTTTTCTGCAAAGGGACCAGGACGACTGATCCGTGTAAAGGAAAGAATGAATGGGGCCATGTATCGTGAGATTTTGAGTGAAAACCTCCTTCCATCAGCAAGGGCATTGAAGATGAAACGTGGCTGGGTCTTTCAGCATGACAATGATCCCAAACACACCGCCCGGGCAACGAAGGAGTGGCTTCGTAAGAAGCATTTCAAGGTCCTGGAGTGGACTAGCCAGTCTCCAGATCTCAACCCCATAGAAAATCTTTGGAGGGAGTTGAAAGTCTGTGTTGCCCAGCGACAGCCCCAAAACATCACTGCTCTAGAGGAGATCTGCATGGAAGAATGGGCCAAAATACCAGCAACAGTGTGTGAAAACCTTGTGAAGACTTACAGAAAACGTTTGACCTGTGTCATTGCCAACAAAGGGTATATAACAAAGTATTGAGAAACTTTTGTTATTGACCAAATACTTATTTTCCACCATAATTTGCAAATAAATTCATTAAAAATCCTACAATGTGATTTTCTGGATTTTTTTACATCGTTTTGTCTGTCATAGTTGACGTGTACCTATGAGGAAAATTACAGGCCTCTCTCATCTTTTTAAGTGGGAGAACTTGCACAATTAGTGGCTGACTAAATACTTTTTTCCCCCACTGTATATATTCAACTACAAGGGTGTACTAATGAGCTATGATTTTTTTTTTTCATAACAGAGGATTACTGAAATAAGATTGTTTCAGTGTAGATAAGGGAATGCCTATTTAAAATGAAAACATGCCAGCCAGACAAGCCAGTGTATTAATCAAATGTATTTGCATATGAATGGAGTGGAAATTAGCTGACTTTGGGATCTGTAAGGTAAGTAACATTAATGTGGGGGGGCATCGAAATGATATACTTTTTTACCCCGATGCCTGTTTATTCATAAAAAGCAGAAGATGGTAAATAACATTAATCGCAATGGTTAGCCTATGCAAATTAATAGGAAAACAAAAGCTTATTAATAGGAATACATTTAGCCTATTTGGTAACAAACATAACGTGGGGAAAAATCAGGATCCTAGTCAGGCTATTGTTTGTCAAATTCAGATTAAATATAGGTCTTCATGTGTATTAAATCTGTAGGTGATTGTGGGCTAAATCAATGACAAACAGCTGAAATGTTCAGGCTTCATCATGATCTGTGATCAAAACAGGCTGGTGTGTTTTCGGTTCCGTTTAGACTAAGGTTATGCATAAGAACGCAACTGCACTGAAATGAATAGCCTGATTCAATACAATTCTCCTGAATAAAAATGTATCTGTTAAACTGTTTGGTCTATGCATAGACCCATACTGATTCTATCTTTTTGGTATTTTGCGGTAAGCATAGCCTACCACTAATATTTTAAATTGCGGAGCATTTAATAAACCAACCACATTTTCCTGTGATGTTGAGGCTGAGCGAGACCTTCAATAGGCTAGTAGACTATTTTTCTAAGGCTAAGCAAACAAGGGATAGCATATGCTTTTTGCCTATGTCGTCACATACCCCCTCAATTCGAGCCCTGTCTCCACAGAAATGTATAGTCTAAGGATTGCATGGTGACAGTGATTGTGTCTGTTAAACTGGTAAACTAGTAAACTAGGAACTCGGGGGAAAAAATGAGGTCAAATCATGACATCAGTGATTTTCAGGTCAGATAAAGATGCCAGAGTTTCTGAACGGTCAGTTGGATGACCGTTCAAAACTATTTTTCCCCTCATTTTTCTCAGAGTTCCCAGTTGTCTTGAATGTGCCACTACAGACCTAGGCTAACTCTTATTTCTGAATAGGGCTGTCTGTATTGATGTGAGAAATAGGCATATCTACACACTAATGGTGGCTGGCTGCGATATCAACTAGCCTAATAATTGTTGTATTGAGGTGATATGCCTATTTTAGCTAAATCTACAAATGAAATTGATTAGATTACTCTGGCAATTATTTAATTTTTTTGCAAAATCATGTACATGTAGACGTCATGTAGACGTTTGTAAGGCGTTCATGATGAGATCTTTAGTAAACTAAACAGACACTTAAACTAACACGTGACGCATAACACATGCAGACGTTTTAAGGCGTTCATGGTAAGATCTTTCATAATAAATGTAAATGCAAACTGAGCCACATTACACGACGTGAACATTATGTCTACATGACGTGTACGTGTCATGTGACGTGACCACGTCGGCAGGTTGATGCCTTAGAAAAAAAACTCCATTGACAGTCTACGTTAATTTATGGTGCTAGAAAGATGTTAGGTGGATTTAGGCGGGCGAGCCAATAGCAAAAGCCTCTGAGGTCGAGGGTGAGTTTGAGCTCGAGTAAAGGACGCCCAGGTAGCGAAGAAGGACCGAAGTTTATTGCTCATATTTTATCGAAAGCGCTATGAATAAGTGCAGAAAGGGAGAGTAGGAAGGTAAATGGAGTCCCTTGAGAAAGTAAGAAACAGATGTATGTCAGGAGAAGTGCAGTATTATCATAAGGAAACGTATACCTGGATGACGGAGGAGGAATGGAAGGAAAAAGAGAGGCAGATGAGGTCTAAGAGAGAGAGGGAGGAAGACTGTGAGCTTGAGTCTGTTAAAAATGGCGGGGAAAAGGGAGAAGGTTTGTTAAAGAAGAATGGTAGGAAATGTAAGCAAAGTGAGCTGAAGGCAGGAGGAGAAATAGAAGTGAATGAGGGAGAAGTATCGGAGGTGGAAGGTGTGGTGAAGTACTCAGAGCCCGAGGATTGCACAGAGGGTCAGGAGGAAGATGAGTCTGTGACAGTAGGAGTGAAGTTTTTGGAAAAAAGTGGAGCCTTGCCTTTTGGCTGATCCATTTGTGGTTTCAAGATGGGTGAAAAAAGCGTTGGGTAAAGTGGAATCGGTGAGGGTAACCAGAAGTGGTCTAGTGATAATTGTTTGTATTTCTGTTGGTCAGAGGGAGAAGGCGCTCAGATTTAGACAAATGGGGGAAAGAATGGTGAATTGTTTCGCTCTCAAGAAAAGGGCGCCATTGAAAGGAGTGATTACTGGTGTAGCAGTAAATGTAAAAGTTGACCAACTGAAGGGGAAGATTCCCGGTGGGTGTGATGCTCGTCGTTTGGTGCGACACAAACAGGGGGGCGAGAGTGGGGAAACAGAGGAGTCATTGTCTGTTCTTTTGAGTTTTAAAGCTGAGTCTTTGCCTGATAAAGTGAAGTTAGGGTATATACAGTAAGTTATCCTGTACGAGCTTATATGCCGAATACATTACGATGGGCATGTGGCAGCAGTATGTAGGAGGGAGGTTCCAAGGTGTGAGAAGTGTGCAGAAGGGCATGAGACAAAGGAATGTGTAGCATTGGGGAAAGTAGTGGTATGTGATAATTGTAAGGGTGCCCATGGGGCTGGGGATCAGAAATGTCCTGTGCGAGAGAGGCAGGTTGAGGTTTCCAGGGTAAGAGTAGTGAAGAAGTTGACATATGCTGAGGCAGTGAAGAAAGTAGAGGAAGATGGCTCAAGGGGGAGGAGTGGTGAGAGTAGTAGAGATGTACCAATGCAGAGGGATAGGACAACAAGTGATATATGTTTCAGTAAGATTGGATTTTTAGCATTTATAGCAATGGTTATTAATTGTACTGCAGGGATGGAACGTAAGTCTAAGAAAATTGAGGTTGTGGTGTGAGACTTGACATCAGAAGAGTTACAGGGAGTGTAAAGTGGTGATGTTCCATCATCTTAGGTTGAGGGCATGAGGTAGGAATGAATATATTTAAATAGTGGAGTGGGGTGGTGTTAATTATTAATAATAATTTTGAATTTGTGAGTGTAGTGTTATTTTATTTTTCAAGCAAAATAGTACATTTTACATTTTAGTCATTTAGCAGACGCTCTTATCCAGAGCGACTTACAGTTAGTGAGTGCATACATTTTTATTTTTATTTTTTCATACTGACCCCTGTAGGTGGCGGTAATGCAACAAATTGGATACCAACCGCCGTTGAAGAAGACGTTAGGTGACTTGGTGAGAGGTATCAGTAGCTTCACGAGGCTTAATTCTGGCACGAATCACCCCCCATACTAACAGTTTGTGGGCACGGTTTGTCACCATTATAGTGCAATTAATGTATTGTTTAGTGTTGTGTAGTGACTTTGCTGGCATACATTAAAAAAAATGTTTTGCGTTAGTCCCACCAAGATTTACATGCTAAAATCGCAACTGCATATACAGTATATTGCAAATCAATATAAGGTTCCAGACGTGCCTCGATCGCTGCAGGCTTGTTGAGGCCACTGGAAACTGTGGATGGATGTAATGCAGTTTGTCCCCACAGGATGGCAGGACGTGTCAATGAAAAGTAGTCTATGGATTGTTGGTACGCAGTTTTACCAGAGATTTCATTTAACACATCAGGAAAATTATGTAATGTCGAACTTCTACCATGTTCTGCAACTTGATTATCTTTAACTGTAATTAATCAATGATTACATAGTTTCATCATTGGAACTGAGATGACTGCCAATACTCAGTGGTATGGCAATAGAGATCTATTACTGAGTCTAAACAAAAACATATTCATTTTCTTCGCTTTGGCTAGCTAGCGCTAGAGATACGCAAGTTCGGAAAGCCACCGAAAAACGCAGTGGACATGACTGTGGGAGAAGGGAAATTCTATTTACTTCACCTCGCATGCCGAATTGTGGGTTTCCACTTTGGTGCATGCGATTTAAATCAACTCCACCCGCTTGGTGCTCCGCGTGATATAAATCGATCGCACATTATGGGTCATGGTCTTTCCAGTCTTTCCAGTGCGTTTCCTGTTTGTTTTTTTTTCACACAGGAAGAGGGTGCATTGGATGAGCAGCTGGACGTTGGTTAATGTTGGACCAAAAAACAGGGAGGGGGAGATATTGATGCATTCTAAGTTATGGAGCTAAGACGGACAAACCCCGCATGCAATTGTGTTTTACTATGTGGAATAACGTTGTGTCTCTTTTTCGGTAAGTACTGGCTACATTTTTAAAGAAGCTAATAACAATCTGATCGCTATAGTTGATAGCTAGCGAGTAGCTATAGTAGTTTGCATGCTAACTAGCGGCTAGCAAAATATGCGTTAGCTGGCTAGCTAAACAGACGATAGCATAGCTAGAAGTGCATGACTTGGTACGATCGTCGTATTTCCAGACAAGGTGTGTGACGCAAATATTAACTATAGAGTGCCTGTTAGCTAGCTTGCTAGTTATATGGTTAGCTAGTTAGCTACATTCTTGACCTATAGGGTCTGGTTAGCTTGGTTTGTTGGTAGCTAGCTAGAAATGCTAACCTAGCTAACACAAAACCAAATAATATCAAAATACACGCGATGAAGCGCCTGTTGTTGTGAAATGTGTCACGTGTTGTTGACATAATGACCTCAAAACATTTCTGAATATTTTTTTTTGGCATGATGAGTAAGAATTGACCAGGTTATTGGCTAAATATGACTGATTCATAGTCTGCGGACAGCAAGTAAAACACATTTTACTTAGCTAATGTCATTTTTTTATGAAAAGTTATAATAAAATCTGTCAGAAATTATTATTGTAGCGCATCATTTGTAGTCTACTATAGTTTTGAGATACAACAATAATATCATATCGCTTCCAATGTACTTGGTTTCCATTAGTGTGTTGCTTGCCCAGGCTGTGTTGGGATGAAATTCAAAGGCTTTGAGGGAAAGTGTCCACCTGTTTTATTATTGCATTCTGCACTGTCAGCATGTTTTTGTCACACTACATGCCTTCCTCCCTGACCTGGCTCGTTCTAAATGGAGAAGGTTGCCAAATATGTACAGAAATCTGTTTAACAACCCACTTTTACCTATGCAAAACTAGTTAACAACAGAGCTCCCGAGTGGCGCAGCGGTCTAAGGCACTACAGACCCTGGTTCGATTCCAGGCTGTATCTCAATTCGGCCGTGATTGGGAGTCCCGTAGGGCGGCGCACAATTGGCCCAGCGTCGTCCGGGTTTGGCCAGGGTAGGCGGTCATTGTAAATAAGAATTTGTTCTTAACTGACTTGCCTAGTTAAATAAAGGTTAAATAAAAAAATTAACAGAGAATAAGAAGCAAATGCGTCTATCCTTTTTTCTGCTAGCTGGAAATGACTTAAGCCTAGCAACTATAAAGCATAAAAGCTTTGATGTAGGCTATACATTTAAGTGGCTATAGAGCCACAATGCCCTCCCAGCTTCTCAAATTTGAATACATTAAGCAACAAACTAAATGTTGGTTCTTTATCAACAGGTACAAATCTAACAGCGGCCATAGAGTTGTACGCCCCGGCGGAGGTGCTGGTTGAGAATGGCACCACGGGGATCCTCAAGTGTTCCTTCAAGTCCAGGGAAGTGATCAGTAGCGCAGCCACAGTCACCTGGTCGTTTCGCCCAACGGGATCCGACCCCGGAAGCGCCGTTTCCGTGAGTGATTTCTTTCTCTGGGTCCATGAACAATTCCCAAGACGTTTCTCTCAGATCTTCCACCGAGGAGTGTTCTAGCACAAAATGTTTCCTCTTATTATTTAGGCCCACTGCCACAGAAAAGAGCGAGGGAGTATGTGTGCGTGTGTTTGTGACTGGTCCAATGAAAGGAAATGAGCCTGAGGAGTGTTGTGTTATGTTATAGGCCACTTCTTCCTGACCATCTGCCTCCTTCCATTTCATGTTTCTCCAAACTTAAAGGAAAACTCCATCCAAAAATGATCATTTGGTATTTGTTTCATTAGTCCATTGTTGATATAGTCCCAAAATGTTTAGCATGTCTGCAATCAAGTTTTCAAGATATTTAACTTTCAAAATACAGAAATACAGCCAGTATTTTCCTTCTGTATTTTGAAAGTTATGTATCTTGAAAGCTTGAATTTAAAATGTATTACATTTAGATTTGGTGTCACTGGCCTACACACACAATACTCCATAATGTCAGAGTGGAATTATGTTTTTAGACATTTTTTTACAACTTCATTAGAAATGAAAAGCTGAAATGTCTTGAGTCACTAAGTATTCAATCCCTTTGTTATGGCAAGCCTAAATAAGTTCAGGAGTAAACATTTACTTAACAAGTCACATAATAAGTTGCATGGACTCACTCTGTGTGCAATAATAGTGTTTAACATGATTTTTGAATGACTACCTCATCTCTGAACCCCACACAATTATCTGTAAGGTCCCTCAGTCGAGCAGTGAATTTCAAACAGATTCATCCAAGAAGACCAGGGAGGTTTTCCAGTGCCTCGCAAAGAAGGCCACCTATTGGTAGATGGGTAAAAAATAAAATAAAAAGCAGACATTGAATATCCTTTTGAGCATGGTGAAGTTATTTATAACACTTTGGATGGTGTATCAATACACCCAGTCACTACAAATATACAGGTGTCCTTCCTAACTTAGTTGCCGGAAAGGAAAGAAACCGCTCAGGAATTTCACCATGAGGCCAATGGTGACTTAAAAACCTTTACAGAGTTTAATGGCTGTGATAGGAGAAACTGAGGATGGATGAAAAACATTGTAGTTACTCCACAATACTAACCTATATGACAAAGTGAAAAGGACGCCTGTACCGAATAAAAAATATTCTAAAACATGCATCCTGTTTTCAATAAGGCACTAAAGTAAAATTGCAAAAGATGTGGCTAAGAAATTTACTTAATGTCCTGAATACAAAGTGCTATGTTGGGGCAAATACAACACATCACTGAGTACCACTCTTCATATTTTCATGCATGGTGGTGGCTGCATTACGATATGGGTAGACAAATTCACCGTTCAGCAGGACAATAACCTAAAACACAAGGCCAAATATACACTGGAGTTGCTTACCAAGAGGACATTGAATGTTCCTGAGTGGCTTGAAAATCAATGGCAAGACTTGAAAATGGCTGTCTAGCTATGATCAACAACCAACTTGACAGAGCTTGGGGAAAAAAAAAATATATATTGTACAATCCAGGTGTGCAAAGCTCTTAGAGACATACCCAGAAAGACTCACTGCTGTAATTACTGCCAACGGTGATTCTAAAATGTATTGACTCAGGGGGTTGAATACTTACTTCATGCTTTTCTTTAAAATACAAATGTTAGAATTTTTTCCACTTTGACAAAAATCAATTTCAATCCAATTTTAATTTAACACAACAAAATGTGGAAAAAGTAAAGGGGTGTGAATACTTGCTGAAGGTACTGTATTTTCGCATTGCTGGGATTTATATGGAAATGGCAGGAACAAGCAAAACTATTCCCATTTCCCTCCCCTAGAGACCTAGCTAGCTGGCTCATCTTGCTCGTAATGATGCACTTGTATCCGGCCTCGTAACAGAGTGCAGTTGGAGAGGGCGTCACCAACACCAATACTAGTCCACACAGCTATCTGTCCCTCTCATCTTTTAAACAAATTGACTATTGAGGATATCCGTCTTGTCATGTAAATGCTAAACAAAATCAGTTTGGTACAGTAGTAGATGCAAACATACCACCGAGTATCAGGGGAATATTTGATGTTTTGCTGTTGCTTGGCAAAAGTGCCCAGTCATGTAGGTAAGCCATAAGCTTACAACGGTTAAACCTGTTTGCTTGTCTTTCCCATTTCTGTTATGAGTCATTAGCTATGTCCCAAATGGCACCCTATTCCCTATATAGCCTAGTATACCACTTTTTATTTATTTATAATTTTCTAGTCATTTAGCAGACGCTCTTATCCAGAGCGACTTACAGGAGCAATTAGGATTAAGTGCCTTGCTCAAGGGCACATCGACAGATTTTTCACCTAGTTGGCTCGGGGATTAGAACCAGCAACCTTTCGGTTACTGGCACAACGCTCTTAACCACTAAGCTACCTGCCGCCCCTACTACTTTTGACCAGAGCCCCATGAGCACCGTCAAAAGTAGTACACTATAAAGGGAATAGGGTGCCATTTGGGACACTGACATTGTGTGCAATTCTTCCACTATCTATTTTCTCTTCAGACATTCTTATATTGACCCCCCCCCCAATGTCTTTTTTGTAGATTTTCTATTACACTTCTGGCAAGCACTACCCAGGGAGCGTGGCTCAATTCAAAGACAGGGTGAAATGGGCGGGAGACCTGAACAAAAAAGACGCCTCTGTCCATTTAATTAAGGCACAGTTCAATGACAACGGCACCTACTCGTGTGCCGTGATTAACCCGCCCGACATATCTGTCACCGCCGCTCAGACACAGCTCAAAGTCGTCATCAAAGGTAAACTTGCAAACGGATTCACAACAGTACAGCAACACTCAAGTCACTTTTCAGCAGGAACTGACCATGCTCTCTCACATTGAAGAATGACTTGGAATAAAAACTGCCAACTGAGCGATTACCAATATCTTAATAACCAGGGGTTGAGAAACACTCATACAAGAGATTAACCATTTTAACACTAACACTGATATAATGCCTTGAAAACATTGAACTGGCAGTATTGACACAGCTGTGACTTTGTAACATAATTGTAATGTTATATGACAACGTTTCAATGCTTACGTTGTCTTGTTTTGCAGAGTCTCTCCCTCAGAACAGCACTGCTGTCATAGTGGGCGCCGTGTGTGGCGCTGTCATCGGGCTCATTCTCATCGCCGTGGTTACCTGCCTGATCATCAAGAGGCATCAAACCAGTCATGAATACGAAGGGTAAGGCATCCTCCCTTGTATAACCATCGGGGTAGTAGATATCTTTAATAGTACTTTAATATCTGGACTTTGGTCAGTATCAATCATTACACCTGACAATCAGTATCTGTAGAGTATCTTAGAAGGAGGCATCAAAAAATTCAATAATATGAAATATTTGATCAAACAAATGAAATCACACCGGGAACCTTTCTATCCTTGTGATATAATTTTTTGTGTGCGAAGACTACTCGACTCTGTCAAAAACCAATTTACTGCATGCAGTTAATGGCTCTTGACGAGGTCAATGAAAAGGAACTGCATCTCTGAAATTTTCTGAAAGCAACCCTTGCCGTGAATGGAGCTCTACTTTCAACAAATGTTTTCATGGCCTCTTTGGTTGTGGGGTCTGCCTGAATCTCTCTTCTCTCTCCTTCCTAACCTCCCCCCTGGCATGTCTCCTGAGTCACAAACACATACACACACACACTAACGTTCTTAGTCAGCAGACCTTAACACTTAGCCCTACCTCCGCTGCATGGGATATGGGGGTTGGGTTACGATGGCTGTGATTGTCGCTTGTGTCCTCTCTCTTGGAATAATAAAATAACATGTTTGCTATTAAAACATTTGATGTGTTCAAAAAATATTCAATGGTAGAGCATGGCGCTTGCAACGTCAGGATAGCGTGTTCGATTCCCGGGACCACCTGTACGTACTTTTTTTTATGTACGCTTGACTGTAAGTCGCTTTGGATAAAAGCACCTGTTAAATGGCATATGTTATTATTATATATGAATGAAAACTCAGAAGAAAGACGCGGCTGGATTTTCCAGTGTTTGTGTGTTGGCTACGTGGAGTTAGACTGTACCAGTGGTACTTGTAAATGCCCTATAACCATGATGAATTACTTACTGAACTAGTAGGTGTCAGATCTGCTTAGCTCAAATGGGTGCTCCAGGTTTACCATGAGAGACCGGAGTGGAGGAAGTCCCACGATCTCCAACTAGGTGTTTAGAGGGTAGGCTAAATGCCAAGCGTAGACACTTCTCTCTTTTCTCTCTGAATCACATGATTAGTTACAAGGTTTTTCATGACCTAGGCCTAATATAAAGCATGAGTTGACACACCCAAATAAGTAGGGGTGCTGACTAACGGAATAGTACAATTATGAAAACACTCTAAGATAGACTCGCAATGATTTAATGCGTATAAAACACCAAGGTGTGCGACTTTCTTACGTTTTTCATATCACATTACATTCAAACAGATAATTTTTTTAACCACTGTAATCAAAACCATGCATCTAGTCTCAATTCGAGAGAAAAATATATATAATTAGTCTATCATCCAAATCACCATAATTATTGACAACGATGTTGCACGTAGAAAGACCAGAGATGTTGCTTTCCAAGATCTGTCTGTCAATGCCCACAGTGACGGATAAAAACAAAGTGCATCGTTAAGCTTGGCTTGTCATCTAACGTTCATGTTGTTGTCTGCCGCTCACGTCCCTCATCCACTTCTGACCACTAACCCCTTCCTCTTCTGTTTCACTGTCATGTGGCTCTCCTGTTTCCTCTAACGCTACCTCCTGAACAATATACATTGCCTTCAGAAAGTATTCATACCCCTTGACTTATTCCACATTTTGTTGTGTTACAGCCTGAATTCAAAATGGATTAAAAATAAAAAACATTCTCGCTAGGGCTGACCCCATATTGTCGACTGGTCGATTGTTTGGTCGATAGGCTGTTGATCGACCAATATTATTTTAGTAGAGCAGTGGCAAATATATAACTATTTAAAAAAGTTATGGGACATGAGACACCTGTCTGATTCTCGCCTGTCTGAGTGGACTGATCTATTGCGGATGGCACACCAGTATCACCAGTAGTATATTTACAGTAAATTACCATAGTTTCTCATCTACAATGTTTGTTTGGTTACAGTAATTTCTGTTAATGCATTCAATATATTATTATTACAGTCGTACCGTTGTCATTGTAGGAGTGGACACGTTGTTTGCAGGTTTATTTCATTCCAATTATGAGTTACTTTTGTTTGGAGCGCTCCTGTCAATCTTGAGTAAGGACACAAAACCTGGCCTGCGATTACCACTCAGCATGAAAGAGGGAAAATAATTCAAGCTCTGATCCGGTGCAAACGTTATAGAATAGGCCTACCTGATTACTTATCCCTTGCGCAAATAGCCTACTGCTGTGTCTGTCCCGAGCTAACTGGAGTGGGAAACTCTGAGGGCCCAGAATATTTTATACAATGTTGCAAGTTTGCTAGAATATTGGCAATGGCAATAGAAGTTACGTGTAGATTTGTATCATTTTCATTTAGATAGAATTTTGATTAACCACATGACATTGATTTTGAGATATAAAGACATTATTATAAATGAAATGAAACTGTTCCACGAAAATGTGCATATGAAAATCATAACTGGCACGCGGATCAATAGAAATGGTATGATTACTTGGCACTCCAAATGGAAAAGGTTACCGAATGCTGGTGTAGCCTATTACCGGCAACTTCAGGAGCGGAGGGAACAGGTTTTTTTCATCTGGTTATGGGAAATATGAGTCTCTGCTTCCCTCTTTAGTAATTTGTGTGTCTTAATTTTTAATTGCGTTGCTTAAAGCATCAGACAAGCTCAGTAGCCTACATAGGGCTGTCCCCCCCCAAAAAAATCAATGGTCGAAATTTTAATGAGTGTATTTTTCCATATATAGGCACACATAGGGTATGTCTATATATGGAAAAATACACTCTTTAAAATTTCGACCAAACAATTGGTCGAGAGAACAGACGACTCTAGGTCGGCCAAGATTCTTTTGTTGTTGGGGACAGCCCTATTTCTCACCCATCTACACACAATACCCCATAATGCAAAGTGAAAACATGTTTTTAGAAATGTTTGCAAATTTATTGAAAATGAAATGCAGAAATATCTAATTTATATAAGTAATCACACCCCTGAGTCAATACATGTTAGAATCACCTTTGGCAGTAATTACAGCTGTGAGTTTTTCTGGGTATGTCTCTAAGAGCTTTACACACCTGGATTGTACAATATTTGCACATTATTCTTTTTAAGATTCTCCAAGCTCTGTCAAGTTGGTTGTTGATCATAGCTAGACAGCCATTTTCAAGTCTTGCCATAGATTTTCAAGCCGATTTAGGTTAAAACTGTAACTAGGCCACTCAGGAACATTCAATGTCCTCTTGGTAAGCAACTTCACCACCATGCTTGAAAATATGAAGAGGTAATCAGTGATGTGTTGTGTTGGATTTGCCCCAAAAATAACGCTTTGTATTCAGGACATAAAGTTAATTTCTTTGCCACATTTTGCAGTTTTACTTTAGTGCCTTATTGCAAACAGGATGCATGTTGGAATATTTTTTTGGGAAAACCTCCCTGGTCTTTGTGGTTGAATCTGTGTTTGAAATGTACTGCTCGACTGAGGGACCTTTACAGATAGTTGTATGTGTGGGGTAGAGAGATGAGGCAGTCATTCAAAAACCATGTTAAACACTATTATTTCACACAGAGTGAGTCCATGCAGCTTATTACGTGACTTGTTAAGCACATTTTAACTCCTGAACTTAATTAGGCTTGCCATAACAAAGGGGTTGAATACTTATTGACTCAAGACATTTCACAATTTCACTTTGACATGGGGTATTATGTGTAGGCCAGTGACACAAAATCTCAATTTAATCAATTTTTAATTCAGGCTGTAACACAACCAAATTTGGCAAAAGTCAAGGGGTGTGAATACTTTATGAAGGTGCTGTACAAATGCTCTTCAAGTCTCACAAAAAGCTAAATGCTAACAGAGTTTTAAGATTAATTTCTATCACTTAAAAAAAAAAAATCTATAAATTAATATTTTGGAGTCCTAGGCCCATATTCATGACGTGTCTTAGGGTAAGAGAGCTAGTCTAGGATCAGTTTTTACATTTAGACCACAATTAGTAATATTACAGGGGGGGACCTGATCCTAGATCCCTCAAACACAACTCTGGACATCGAAGCCAGTTCCACTGCATTTTTAATTGTTCCCCTCGAATCAGGGACTGATTTAGTGGGTGCAATGAATTATCAGGTAGAACAGAAAACCAGCAGGCTCCGGACCTCGTAGGGTAAGAGTTGAAAATCCCTGTCCTAGATCATCACTCCTACTCTGAGACGGTTGATACAGATCCTGGTTAGATGTGAACCGAGAGATCTTGTAGAGAGTGTACAAACTGACCTTATTATATAGTGCACTACTATTGACCAGCACCAAAATTTGCTTCGGGGGAGTGCCATGTTTGCTCTTCAGTTTAGTTTATTAGGATCCCCATTAGCTGTTGCACATGCAGCAGCTACTCTTCCTGGGGTCCACATAAAACATAAAATACATGACAGAAGTACAGAACAGTTACGTACAAGAACAACATAAGATATTATTACATTAAAATTACAATTTAAAAATCATTGTCAAGGCACCAAGAGACCAAAACAATAAATAAAATAAGTGTGTTTATTGGACCACTGACTGACATTGGTATGACTGACATACAACACTAATCTTTCATGTGTGTGATCACATCATTATCTCATTGGGGTGGGGAATGTTTTTCCCTAATCCACTTCTTTATTTATTGTCTTATCTTATTGACCAATTGATTGTCGCATAGACTATTAGATAAAGTCAATGTTTTTAAGTCAATGTTGTTATGTTAATGCTGTTTCTTAGTCTTTTGCAAAGCTGCAGTAACTTTTCAACTATATTTACAGTTGAAGTCGGAAGTTTACATACACTTAAGTTAGAGTCATTAAAACTTGTTTTTCAACCACTCCACATATTTATTGTTAACACTAGTTTTGGCAAGTCGGTTTGGACATCTACTTTGTGCATGACACAAGTAATTTTTCGAACAATTGTTTACAGACATATTATTTCACTTATAATTCACTGTATCACAATTCCAGTGGGTCAGAAGTTTACATACACTAAGTTGACTGTGCCTTTAAACAGCTTGGAAAATTCCAGAAAATGATGTCATGTCTTTAGCAGCTTTTGATAGGCTAATTGACACAATTTGAGTCAATTGGAGGTGTACCTGTGGATGTATTTCAAGGCCTACCTTCAAACTCAGTGCCTCTTTGCTTGACATCATGGGAAAATCAAACGAAATCAGCCAAGACCTCAGAAAAACAATTGTAGACCTCCACAAGTCTGGTTCATCCTTGGGAGCAATTTCCAAACACCTGACGGTACCACGTTCATCTGTACAAACAATAGTACGCAAGTATAAACACCATGGGACCACGCAGCCATCATACCGCTCAGGAAGGAGACGCGTTCTGTCTCCTAGAGATGAATGTACTTTGGTGCGAAAAGTGCAAATCAATCCCAGAACAACAGCAAAGGACCTTGTGAAGATGCTGGAGGAAACAGGTACAAAGGTATCTATATCCATAGTAAAACAAGTCCTATATCGACATAACCTGAAAGGCCGCTCAACAAGGAGGAAGCCACTGCTCCAAAACCGCCATACAAAAGCCAGACTACGGTTTGCAACTGCACATGGGGACAAAGATCGTACAAAAATAGAACTGTTTGGCCATAATGACCATCGTTATGTTTGGAGGAAAAAGGGGGATGCTTGCAAGCTGAAGAACACCATCCCAACCATGAAGCATGGGGGTGGCAGCATCATGCTGTGGGGGTGCTTTGCTGCAGGAGGGACTGGTGCACTTCACAAAATAGATGGCATCATGAGGAAGGAAAATTATGTGGATATATTGAAGCAACATCTCAAGACATCAGTCAGGAAGTTAAAGCTTGGTCGCAAATGGGTCTTCCAAATGGACAATGACCCCAAGCATACTTCCGAAGTTGTGGCAAAATGGCTTAAGGACAACAAAGTCAAGGTATTGGAGTGGCCATCACAAAGCCCTGATCTCAATCCTATAGAAAATGTGTGGGCAGAACTGAAAAAGTGTGTGCGAGCAAGGCCTACAAAACCTGACTCAGTTACACCAGCTCTGTCAGGAGGAATGTGCCAAAATTCACCCAACTTATTGTGGGAAGCTTGTGGAAGGCTACCTGAAACGTTTGACCCAAGTTAAACAATTTAAAGGCAATGCTACCAAATACTAATTGAGTGTATGTAAACTTCTGACCCACTGGGAATGTGATGAAATAAATAAAAGCTTAAATAAATCATTCTCTCTACTATTATTCTGACATTTCATATTCTTAAAATAAAGTGGTGATCCTAACTGACCTAAAACAGGGGATTTTTATTAGGATTAAATGTCAGGAATTGTGAAAAACTGTGTTTAAATGTATTTGGCTAAGGTTATGTAAACTTCCGACTTCAACTGTATAAGCATCTGCTCATTGTTCCCATACAGATGCATGCCTTGTTAATCTTCCAGGACAGTGTCTCTGCCCAATGTATGTCACTCCTGCCAACCTCTCCTCCCAGCCACTTGGAGCAGTCATTTCAAAATGTGCAGCATAACTCATGTGAAATCTGCCCATCTCTCATTTGCATTTGTATCTGTCTCCCATGTCTTCTCCTGTGTCTGACTGTATGTGTCCATGTCGACCATTTCTCTGTGCGCCAACGCTTCCCGAACTGCACAAAACAAACCACCTTCTCCGATTCATAAACACCTCCCCCGGTGCAAAAACTAGCTGCACCTCAGTGGCAAGAGTGAGCTCCCACGCCACACGCCCGGGGGAGAAGAAGCACGAGTCCAGCTCGGAGGGCTCCAGGTGTAGCAGCCCCTCCGCCCCGGTCCAGGTAGGCGCTACAGTGAGTGACTCAAACCAACCATCCACACCCACTGTTGCACAGGGACACTAACAGGGGGAGAGGGATCCACTAACTAACTATAGCTGAGATGCACTACAGCATTAGCCTATCCCAGATCTAATTGTACTCTTGCCAACTCCATTGCTGTCATTGTTGAGTCAACATTTGGCGTGACAATTCCATAAGTAGTTGGCAAGAGAACAAAAACAGACTAGTACCTAGCTACTACAGCATAGGCCAGGGTTTCCCAAACTCGGTCCTCGGGACCCCAAGGGTGCACGTTTTGGTTTTTGCCCTAGCACTACACAGCTGATTCAAATAATCAACTTATCATCAAGCGTTGATAATTTTAATCAGCTGTGTAGTTAGGGCAAAAAATAACGTGTACCCCTTGGGGTCCCGAGGACCGAGTTTTGGGAAACGCTGGAATAGGTTTTCAAGCTGATCTCTTTGATGGCTTTAGTGTCTGCTTGTCTATCTTCTTTAGTTTTTCATCCATCTGATTTCTGATCTTGGAAACCAGTGTTGTGTTCAGAACAGGAACATTGTAACAAAATGTTGACTTTTCTACCTACTGAACGAGACCCAGGTGGACACACTCCCTAACATACTAGCAGATACCCATAGACTTCCAGTCATTGCGCTAACGCTAGTTAGCATTGGCTCACGAAACTACCTCTAACTTCCTTCAAACTGGACACAGAAACATACAAATGGTATCCACAAGTTCATCTGACTCTGGGGAAGTAGATAACGGGCCTCATTACCAGAATCCCAAAGTATCCATTTAAAACAACTGACAAGCATTGGAGTGTAATGTCCCTTTAAGTCTAAGGGAGAGATCCATAGACATTGCGGCCATCGAGTCCTGGCGGCGGATACCCCTGCTCTACAGACTGACTAAATCAGTGGTCACCAACCCTGGAGCAGGCTTTTGTTCTAGCCCAGCAGTGACCCACCTGATCCAACTAATCCACCTGATCCAACTAATCATCAAGACCTTGATGAATGGAATCAGGTGTTTTGGTGCTGGACTGAAACAAAAGCCTGCACATCCTGTAGTTCTCCAGGACCAGGATTGGTGACCACTGAATGACGTAATACATTTTACAAGTAATGCGTGAGATCACTCTCATTCTGGTTAAGCTCTAAATGCTTATGTCAAGAACAACTGGCTGGAGTGTCACGGCATCCCCTTTTGCAAAGCTGCTGTTGCTGACCTAAGCATGTATAGATGTTCATGTTGTTCCTATGAAGGTGTTATGCATTGCTTATGAAAGTTCAAAGGAGGCCTCTGACGATATTATCAAACACTAATATTGTAGGCCTATGTCTAGGAAAAGGAGAACCTTTATTATTTTTGTGTCTCTGAGAGGCGCTTGTTTGTGGTCGACTTTGCCGGTTGACTGGTTTAGTTTGCTGATCTTGTGAGGGACAGTCTTGAGATGCGCCTCTCCCTCATTACATTAAGAGACGTGTCCACATTCCACCGTCAGCCAAAACATGAAGGTGTAATGTACTGTACTTTGCCGTTGTATGCGTGTTGTTGTTTTCCCCCCATCTATGTTTCGAGTTTTTATGAGGTTTTTTTGGTGTGATTTTTGAGCCCAGTGGTCGGTAGAAATGACTCCCTGAAGATAAGAAGAAAATGGCGCCCTCTTCTTCTACACACTCACACAGCCCAGATGTAGTCCCAAGCTGTGCTAGATGGGAGAAAAAAACAAATGTTTTGTTTTGCGCAACAATCTGGCATTGTTATCTTCATTATCTGGCTTCATTCAGAAGCAATGGGCCAAATATCTTCCATTAACAACACTACTTTGATATGTGTTTGTTATTTGGCATTGCTATCTGCAGTTGTCCCCGCTTAAATCCCACAGCCATTTACGTTTCCTACGGCCATTTGAACTTGACAGCTAAACCAGTGTAACATGTATTGTTATTAACACAATTTTCCTCCTTCCCCTTTGCCTTATCTCCCCACCCATCCATCTGCTCATCACAACAGGGGCCGGTGATATACGCCCAGTTGGATCACTCGGGCACCAAGAACCCCAACTCATTCCACAAGATGGAGCCAGTGGTGTACGCAGACATAAGGAAAAACTGAAACGGGGTGGGGGGAGAACTGGAGACCAAAAGGGAAAGGCCACCATAGCTCACTGCTTTGGGATGGGTGGGGGGTGGGGGCGAGGGGGAGAGGGATTGATGCTGTTTAGAATTATATTTTTTTGTCTCATAAAAACCCTTCTGAAAGCATTTATTGCATGTTCGTGTGTGATACAAAATGTATGCTACCATGGCTTTCAATACAACAATACAACACAGAGATTAGAGAAACACTATAATACATTAACTGCATGTTTAGTAAGTGTAAAATACATAGGCTCAAGTAGTTTTTTCGTTTTTTTTTTTACAATAGAGGGACCATGAGAACAATATGTTAACAATCATCTCAGTCCAACATATTGGATGTTAAATTGATGGTTTAGACATAGGGTTTGGTTATAGAATAGGATACCTGAAATGCATAGCCGTTTTGTCTGCAATCATGCTACCTTCATCTAGTCATGTAAACATTTTTTTACAAGGTAACAATCACGTTAACGCCATATAATATCACTCTGGTACACAGCCATGGAAAGCCTCCTGGTGAAAAGACTTCACGTTAACGCCATATAATATCACTCTGGTACACAGCCATGGAAAGCCTCCTGGTGAAAAGACTTGTGTACAGTTTGTGTATTGCGCTGTAGATTTTAACATTGCATTGTTATATCTATGACTAAAACACTGCCACTGGGTTCGAAACTGAACTGTTCAGCTGAAACAATGATACAAAACAAAATTTTATTTTTTACATTGTTTTTATTGTACAGAAATTATACACTGTTTGCATGTAATTTATTAACTAACCACAACTAATCATGACAATAACCACGTTTGACACATTTTAGTTTTAACATCTGTTTTAGATTATGTAGGTTTGACGTGATCATGTGAGACTGATAATATCATGATGTCCGAAAGAAAATCTTATCTTCCGTCTTTCAGAAGCAATGGGCCAAATATCTTCCTTTAACAAAACTACTTTGATATATCACTGTGCTTTAATATGTTTCTGTTCCAATGATTCACTCTCAATCATGTTTGATTGAAGCAATGCGTTAATAATCAGTTTAAATGCTGTTTTAATCCCTTCCATTTTTTTCTGCAGTAGTCTTACCCCGACCAACATTTATGCATATGGATAGTTAACTATGTAAGATCTAGAGCTCGTTACTGTAATTCATTCTTTTCTGGTCAATGGTAGTATATCTTGGTGTTTTAACAAAATAATCAGTGATGTGTTTCAGAATTCCAATTTGATATTGAGTGTCATTTTTGTCAAATAGTTTGAAAAAGCATGGCTGGTGCTCTGTCTTGATGCTAAACCTCACACTGTCACGTCTTAAAAATCCTTTAAGTATTTACCCACTAGGCACACACTGGTTGAATCAATGAAATTACATAAAAAAATGTGGAATAGACGTTGAATTGACATCTGTGCCCAGTGGGTAGCGTTTTAGTGTTTTTAACTGTATATTTTAGCTGTTGACAAAATGGTTTTGATCACCCAAGAGAGCTAGAGGAGGCGTCATTCCTGTTTTCCAAAGCTGCCTCTTCCACTAGTCCTGCAAAATAAAGCAAAAGTAATTGTTAATCTACATTCCTAAAAATTCATCAAATGCTGGCGCTTATCTTGCTGTCTTGTGCTTGTGCAGTATTAGTATATGTGTGTAGTAGTAGTTGAAGTAGTATTGTCCTTGATTATGAATTATGAAAAAGCTTTTCACTTAGTCAACTCAAATGCTTAAGAAATTATGTGGTGTCAAAGTTTGGATAAGTGCAGTTTACAATACCCATTCCACTGTTACGTCTTAAAAGTGTGAAGTCGTAGTTTGGGCTGTTGAGTAGCCATATTAGCGTGTGTAATTTGGTGCTTGTTTATATAATATCTTATGTTGCAAAACCTGCACTATGGCCGGCGTATCAAAGACCACATGCACTATATGATTTTATTTTCTTCTCTGTGTCCTGTGCTTCTGTTCGATGTCTTAAAACTGGAATGTAGTACATTTAGTGCCTTTTGCATTTCATCTACTAACTTGAACACCTGCTCAATATATATATATATAAAAAAAAATGTAATTCATTTATTTACTTCATTGTATGTACTTTTTATACAGTGCCTTCAGAAAGTATTCATATCCCTTGATTTATTCCACATTTTGATGTTACAGCCTGAATTTAAAATTGATTAAATAATAATTTTTGTTCACCCATCTACACACAATACACCATAATGACAAAGTCAAAACATGTTTTTAGACATTTTTTGGAAATGTATTGAAAATTGAAATTAAATTCACACCCCTGAGTCAGTACATGTTAGAATCACCTTTGGCAGCGATTACAGCTGTGAGTCTTCCTGGCTACGTCTCTTAAGAGCTTTGCACACCTGGATTGTACAATATTTGCAAAACATATATATTTTTTAACTCCCTAGTCCTTGACGATGACAAGCATACCCATAAGTCGCTTTGGATAAAAGCGTCTGCTAAATGGCATATTAATTTAATTAACATAATGCAGCCACCACCATACATGAAAATATGAAGAGCAGTACTCAGTGATGTGATGTTGGATTTGCCCCAAACATAACGCTTTGTATTCAGGACATAAAGTGTATTTCTTGGCCACAATTTTTGCAATTTTACTTTAGTGCCTTATTGCAAACAGTATGCATCCTTCTTTTCACTCATTTAGGTTAGTATTGTGGAGTACAAGTACTACAACCTTGTTGATCCATCCTCAGTTTTCTCCTATCACAGCCATTAAACTCTGTAACTGTTATAAAGTCACCATTGGCCTCATGGTGAAATCCCTGAGCGGTTTTCTTCCTCTCTGGCAACTGAGTTAGGAAGGACGTCTCTATCTTTGTAGGGACCGGGTGTATTGATACACCATCCAAAGTCTAATTAATAACTTTGCCATGCTCAAAGGGATATTCAATGTCTGCTTTTATTTTTTACCTGTCTACCAATACGTGCCCGTCTTTGCGAGGCATTGGAAAACCTCCCTGGTCTTTGTGGTTGAATCTGTGTTTGAAATTCACTGCTCGACTGAGGGTCCTTACAAATAATTATATGTGTGGTACAGAGATGAAGTAGTCATTCAAAAATCATGTTAAACACCATTATTGCACACAGTGACTCCTTGCAATGTATTATGTGACTTGTTAAGCACATTTCTACTCCTGAACTTATTTAGGCTTGCCATAACAAAGAGGTTGAATACTTATTGACTCAAGACATTTCAGCTTTTCATTTGTAAAAAAAAAAGTTATCTAAAAACATAATTCCACTTTGACATTATGGGGTTATTGTGTGTAGGCCAGTGACTCAATCTAAATTTCATCCATTTTTAATTCAGGCTGTAAAACAACAAAATGTGTAAAAAGTCAAGGTGTGTGAGTACTTTCTGAAGACACTGTAGATATACAAAACACTCTGGATCTGATGGTCTAATTTTATATAAAAGCTATTCCTGATTTAAATGTCTGTGTGGTTGTTTACAAAGATTGTATTTTGGGTTGTTTACCAGATGGAATGCTGCTGACCATGCAAGTCAAGTATTTGTAATTCCAAACTTGCTCTACCCATGCACTCCAGGGTGAAGTTTCCCCTAGGTACAGATCTATGATCAGCTTCCCCTACCCCAATCGGAACCGTAACTATTAGTGGGGATAATGCAAAACTGACCTACTCCTACCCAAGCACATTTTGCAATGTTCTGCATGTCATTTACAGAGGTCAGCAGCCAGAGGGGTATCCTACGAAGCAAGCTAGATCTACTCAGGGTTTTCTAAAGCTAACCAGCTTCAGTTAGCTTCACATTTCAGCTCAGACTTCTTCCGTACTAAAACGGTGGATATTGCTTGTCCGTCTGCTGCTAACTCTAGCAGGCTTGTAACTGTGAGTGCATGTCGCACATTGGCTAGTCGAACGCCGAATTTCATTGAGACTGCTGAAATCCATGGGCGAGTCAGTGTCACATTTTTTATTTGTGCTGAAATCAAAATGAAAGAAAAGTTATCTTGCAAATTCAGCAGGCTATGGTGTGATAGTATTTTAGAAGTGCAGTTTTTATTTTATTACTTATCGTTAATGCCGTCTTTGGCGTACTTATCAATGAACAAGCACGTTTTTTTCCCACACATCGATAAAAAAATTCAGTAAGTCATACATTTCAAATGGGAAACTGGGCCCAGGTTAGCTCTGAAGGATTCATTGCCATAGAAATGTAGCTGTCTAAAAGGTGAGCCACTTTCATATGACCGGTTATCCTGAGTTGAACTCCGAGTTGACCAAAGTTACCTCACTAACTCCTCAAACCTGCTTCGTAGGATACCCCTCAGGTCACAGCAGCGCAGCCACTGTATACATATAATCATGTGTTTTAAACATCATTGACAAGAATCCAAGTATTGGGAGCCCAAATCTCTCTCCATTAACTTAACATGGCATTGGATAACATGAATAAAGGCAAATCACCTGGTTTGAATGGTATTCGTCCTGAGGTCTATTTAAAATTATGGAACCAATTCGGTCCACTGTTCCTTGAAGTGATTAACACAGCCGTTCACAAAGGTTCATATGGAAGGGATGTAAATACAGCACTAATTTAGCTTTTATTAAAAAAAAGGTAAAGACGTCACCCTGTGTTCTCGCTGTCGTCCCCTATCTTTGATAAACACAGATATTAAACTTTTTATTTATTTATTCTGTCGTCCCGTCTCAACTTATTTACCTAAATTGGTACATCTGGACCAAAGCGGGTTTGTTAAAAAACTATTGTCCTCAGATAACCTCTGTCGATTACATATCTTACATGCTTCATCAGAAACCAAAGCTCCTTGGGCAGTTGTATCTCTCCAATCAAATTGTATTTGCCACATGTGCCGAATACAACAGGTGTAGACCTTACAGTGAAATGCTTACTTACAAGCCCTTAACCAACAATGCAGTTTTAAGAAAAAAAGTTTAAATAAAAAATAGATAAGTAAAAAATAATTAAAGAGCAGCAGTTCAATAAAATAACAGTAGGGAGGCTATATACAGGGGGTACCGGTACAGAG